CCAAATGATTCAAATAAACCCAAAATTTGACCTACCATAATGCTACCAATGGTTACATTTGCAGTATTCATAAAAACTAGCACAAAGTGAATTATTTCATGGCCAAAACTACTCACTCTACCACTAACTGAACTAGCTTCATCATATTGGCCATTCAGATTAGCATAATAGGCGTCGAAATCAAAATGTAGTAATTGGCATTTCAAAATTCTGATTGTCAAATTATCTAGAACTGCTAGCATATTTCCAAGTGAGCATCTCATAAAACAACATTCAAACTGATGCAAGGCATCTCAGGGTCTAAGATTTCCAAATACAGGTCTAAGATGAGATTCACAATTCAATGCACACTAATCAAATTCATAGTTCAAAAATCATTCCGTTGAATAACTAATCATTCCATTTAATCACAATTTGAAATAATTATAAGATTGCTGTTAAAAAACTAAGCATCTAGGTTTTTGCATGGAGCCATTGTTATGCTCATCTAGAGCTTCTACTCTAAGGCAGTAAATAGAACCTCCTTCACAGAACATCAATAGAAATTGCTACATTTTTATACATTTTTACCTCTCTAACAACAATAGCCAAACTACATCCCAAAATCTAACTTCTATTCAAACTCCAACAATAATAGTCCAAGCTCATCAACGCCCTATCTAACCCAACAACAACCAACAATATCATCAAGTCTCATCCCTCACCTCGGCCCTGCACTCTAAACAAACTCAAGTAAACCCAAATACCTTGCCACCCGCAACTCCGACATGAGCCATTTTTTCTAACTCTTTCTTCTCTAAAAAATAAAAGTCAAAGAAACAAAGAGGTGAAAGAAAAAAAAAAGGAAAAAAAGGAAGTTTGTGTGCATTTAGTTCTCGTTGGAAATTTCCTCTTTATCGTCAACTTCATTGTCAACGCCCTCATGCAAAAAAGTATAATGCAAGGAAAGCCCCTTGCCCCAACATTTAAGTACTCATGCACATCATTTAGACATGGCAAAGACACTAATCTGCTTTTTTTTTTTTCTTTTTCTTTTTCTTTTTTGCTTCAGTATCAAAGCCCCATGCATGCTTTTTTACCATAGAAGTCTAAAAATCCATGTGCATCACCTCTACGTGCACGGGAAGGCTTCATCATGTGCACCTTTTCTTTATTTGGATAATTAAAGCTCCATACACACTTTTCAAGGTGATAGGTTTGAAAATCTGAATTGAAATTCTTAACCACTAACCAACATGATTGTTTAAGTGTGGTTAGCAAGCTTAAAACTCCCCTTAGCTACCCCTTATATGAAGGAGGTGCCAAAAAAATTACCAAAGTTTCATCTGAATGCCACTTAAAAAGAACAAAACTAAAATGATCTAATAGAATAAAATGTAATTAAATGAAAATATAAACTGCAAATCAAAGATAAATATGAACTTTTGAAAGTGGTATAAATCACTTTAAAAAATAGGATTAAACAAAAACAGGATTTGCACAAAGCTTATAGGAGACTCACAGAAAACTTAATAGTTCATTGATAAAGCAGACGAAACCTCCTCACTATTCTAAAAATTATTGAAATATAACAAGAACTAAACTTGGCAGGAAAATTAAATAAAGAGAGCGCCTATTACGCCTATTAATAAACAAAAAAAGATTTCATGTGAGGCACACAAGAGTAAAACACAGACTATGTGTGGACAAAATACACCTCTAAGAACACACAACAAGATCTAAATTGTAACACTAGGAACCGGATTTGCAATATATGCATGAAAGTAGACAGAATGTGAGCAATGATGAGATCAAAATGGACAACTATGTGTGTATTAAAACCATGTTCGCACAAATAACTAATTTCAAAAAAATTTGAATGGTGCAAATGCCTAGCGAAATGAATTTAACTCAATTACAGCACTTCAAAAATCATAGGAGCGCTTCACTCATTCGTATGTAAACTAGTGAATGTGTTAAAAGTTTGAACTCAAAGTAAAAGAATATATTGTGCATATAACAAAACAAAAACTCATTCTCACAAGAATCATGTGACCATTTTTTACAAGTGTGCAATCACCTTGAAATTTAGTAAACTCGCACTTTTAAGTTTAAATTCATCAATATATGTTGCATGCCCTACCGATAATGTAAAGTCAAATGTCTCACTTAACAAGTTAAATGCTCCGCATTACAAAGATTACAGTGTATAAAACTTGTATAAAAGAATTATTTTAAATTTTTTCTAACGCTAAAATACAACAAACTCATCAAGACATACAAGGAATCAAATGCTTAACCACAAAATTTGCTAAATATTTTATTTTGCATTTGCATAAGGCCCTCAATGCAATTTACTCATTTTGCAAAATACAAAATTCTTGATTGCAAGCCTACAAAGAAAAATCACAAGTTCAACTTCACACAACCGCTCATCTACATATGAGGGTAGAATCCTCAAGGAGTATGAGGCAACACATTTAAATGAACTCAAAGAAAACTCATCAGCTGAATCAGCTACGAATAATTGGGAAGAATGTTTAAAGCAATCAAGTACAATCATTCACATACCATTACGGTTTAGAAATTATACAACCTAATCAAAGAGGCCATTTCCAAAATCAAACTTTCAAATTGCAAATATCAATGATGAAAGCAACACAAACACCAATGATAATCGCATTGATAGAAACTCAACCATAAGAGTCAACTTTAAAAACTCATTTTTAAATATAAATTCTTTAAACATCAATGACACTCGATGATAGGGATGTTAATTAAAAATCTTAACTTGAACCCTTATTTTTAAAATGCCCCCATATCCCTATGTAAATTATTTTGAGCCATTAAAAAATTCAAAACATTTAAGAGAAACTTATCGCATTAAGCGAAGAGCAAATATTAATTTATCCTACACAATAGTTTAATAGGGCTAGAAGGTTTAAGGTCAAGCACAGATTTATGGCCACCCTTAAAAATTTCATGCCAGTAAGAATGTAGTATGTGCTCTCTAATTGAGTGATTTTGCCACCACATAATACCACAAAAATATATATTTATGATCAAGGCTCTGTGATAAGGTAGTTCGTCAGAAAATGTACCATCAAATTATAATCAAAGCAAAAGCTCATGAGTTTCTTTATGGCCCAATTCCCTCAGAGGTGAAACATAGAGTGCATTTGATAAGTCACATAACCTTCTAAAGACAAGTTAGAATTGTCCCCTTAGACAAGCATCCACCCCATGCTTATAAGGTCACATTGAATGAGTTACTAACTTGGTCAAGTTCTTCATCACTGTCAAAACTAGTAATGGTAAAGTACACCTATCCTAAAATCAAATCATTATTATTATACGCTAAGCATTTAGTGCACAATGACTACCCTCAATCAAACTTTTTCTTCCATGGACGAAATTGATAATTAACTAATAGGGTCTTAAACCTATGAGGAACACAGGTACGGATCATAAAGCCCTCGTTGGGTTATATATTATTTAAAATATAATGTTTTTCAAAATTTTGACGTAAAATATAACTCTCAAAAAAGAGTAGGCGCGAATTTAGAATCTCACATTCACAGACTTACAAGAGGGCATGGAGTCACAAGATCAATAACAACGATGCTAGACTAAGCTTTAAGCTAAGTCAAGGGACAAAAATGTTGAACCAATAAAAAAAAAACAAACCCAATCTCGTAGCACAATCAATAAACCATACAAGTAGAAAGAGTTTAGATGATCATAAAACACAATCTATTTTCATAAAGAACAACATACCAATGATTCGAATAAAAAGTAAAAAATACAATTTCTAACAAAAGTTAAATCAACTAAAATTAATTCAAAGTGTAGATTGTCAATTTGCTTACTCAATGCAAATCTCTTGTTTCTAATGAATATTAATTTTGAGGTTTGCATCAAAAATGTGTCTAAAAAAATTGCACACAAGTAGGCTTAAATTTTAATCAAATATCTCAAAATAGATAATTTATTATGATATAAACAATTTAACCGAACAGCTCTAGCAAGGTAATGGCCATGAGTTCTTCCTTAGTCATATCATGTCTATTGGCATTGAAATTCTTAAGAAACCAGAAAACATTGTAAATCCTGGCACTTCTATTAGCAACCATAACCTGAACTAATGAACCTTGGAAGTATTAACAAAAAGAAATATGTGAGACAACATAATAGACTAGATGTTCCTTCCAGTTTGAGAAAAGTCAAACGAACTAGGTCTCTTTATTTCTGTAAAATTTTCATGACTCGATGTTTGAGAATTTCCATTTACAGTGAAAAGCACACAATGAACTATCTAAATGTTAAAAAAAATAAATGAAACTATCTGAAAACTAAGATCTTAGTAAGTTTTTCTCTAAAATGAATCGGTATTGTTCGATTCATGATTGTGATGTACTCTTTAACTTGCAGAACATAGCCAGTAAATGAATGCTTTCTTGTTCTCTTCTTGATTGTCAAGTAACCTTAAATGCTAATGAGAAATTAACTCCAAAATGTCCATATTGCCCTACTTTAAATCAGTCAAATGCTGCATGCATGCAATCTGATGGATCTACTGATTGCGATGGATGCTAAGGAAATACAACTTCTTATAATAGATAGCACTGTACATCTCAGTATTACATTAAAAGTGGAGAAACCAGGAAAGTAAGCAGGGTCTATCCAATGATCCACATTCATAGAAAATCCCTATATGATTGGAGCAAACTATCCCCATATATTATGACCTGAGGACATGCTGCATGTATGCAGAAAACAGGAAATAAGGAAGATGCACAAATGTTAATGATCGATAAACGTAGGCTGGTATAATGAAGTACAGATGAATTATTAAACAGCTGGAAGGTCTAAACTAAAAAGCAAAAATACAATACCTCAAAATCATAAGGACTGGATCATAACTACCAAAATAAATCTGGTTACATGCCTTCAGAGTTCTATTCTCAAGTACATAAATTATGGCATGCAAATAAAGAAAAAAAACTCCACGGAAAGGAATATTGTCATTAAAAAACTTAATCACAATCACATTATATTATCTTATCACCTGGGGGGTCACAGAACAACTATGGAAATGAATAGCTTTCGACAAACTTTGCAGCATACATTAAAAGGAAACTAAAATGCAAAGAGAACGTTTTAGCATACCCAGGTAAGATGTTTCTCTTAGCCACACCAGCTACTTTACAAAATTAGAAACATGTAGGTACTCCGCGCTATGTTTTAATTCATTGAGTTCATCAGACTCTCACGAATTGGCATGCTTTTGTGCATAGCCCTACAAAAGGAAACATTAATGCAAGTCAGAGACAGAAAATAAGATTCTCTAAAAAATGCAACATCAATCTAATTTTCACTTTTTTTTTTTTCAATTTCTAGAAGCTAGAAAAGGAAACACAAATGCAAGTCAGAGACAGAAAACAAGATTATCTAAAAAATGTAACATCAATCTTAATTTTCACTTTGTTTTTTAACTTCTAGAAGCTAGCCACTTACATCAACAAGTTTCAAAATTTTTTGTCTAGATGATGCCAGATACTGGTTTATTGCTTCTTGCGTACTAGGGATTTGATGGGAATGTAATGCACTCAGAACCTTTTCAACTGATTTCTTAACTACTGTTTTGTGGGCATCTTTACTTAACTGTCCTTCTCTCCACCATGGCTTTAACAATTCCTTCACGAAATCAACTAAAGCAGTATGAAAAATTTTCAATGCTTTAGATTCCTTGATATTCCTGCCCTTGTCAATAGCTTTCCATTCGGCGCCAAGCTCTGCATCTTTGTTATCTGACCTTTCAACCAAACGATCAGAATTCCATGTTTTTTCATTGTTAAGAAGAGAATTGTTTCTCCCCTCTAATTTGATAGATGTAAAAAATTCATCTTGAGCACTAGAATCATGCAAAGATACATTCCTAGACGGCATTCCATCCCAAGAAATAGCATTTTCAGTTTTTGTTGGCAGAAATGATGAATTTTGAAAGGGAGTTATTTGAGAAGTCTGGAAATAATCTCTATCATTGGCAGTTGCAGGCTCAATGCTATCAAGAATCGGGTCATATTGACTAGGAGAAGATGTACTTTTAGTCGCAATAGCCAAAGAAGATCGAAAAGGTTGGGATGGCTCCCAAGCATCATATTGGATTTTAGTTGTTTGCCTCAATGTCAGATCACCAGAAATATTGTGATGTATCTTATTTCTTAATTCAGGCTGTGAGAGGTAAGGGGAAGAATCTCTGGTAAGGGAGATAGACCCAGAGCTATGGTATCTTCTATGAAGATCTAAAAAACTATGGCCCTCAACATACTCAGTATTTCGAGTGGAGCCAGAAGCAGGTGATGGTCCTGCCCGAGAAAGCATGTAATCCATTTGTGGAAGTTGAAAAGAACTACCCAGACCTGAACTTAGAGAACCCGCAAAACCATGTGAATCGTAAGATTCTTGCTTTAGGAAATGGCTCTGTGTGCTTCTAATAGCATTGCCTTCCGTTCTTCCATATGCAGGTGGACTATTGTTATTATGCTGCAGAATGGATGATATAGAGGAACTACCTGGGTAGTGTTTAGGATCAGAAACAAATGCATCTGCTGGATGAGTTCTTCCAGAAATTGTTCTTTCATATGGAGAGTCATTCATGCTGATTTCATTAAGTGCTTTACCTTCAGTCAGGTGTCTTCTGGATAAGAAAGCATCATCAGACTGCCTCTCAACATTGGATTCAAAATGGCCCATTTTACCAATAGGTTTCTTGTATTCTTCCTGTGTGGAAGTGTGGCCAGGAGATGTGACATGGCTTCCTGTACCATATGTCCTAACAAGTGCTCTGTTTAAAAGAGAATTACATCCCGAAGAACCCTTAGGATTGGATTCTAAGAGTTCAGAAGATACTTTTGATCTTTCATTTATTTCATCTGAACCTAAAAGACAATCATAGATTAGTTCCTCGCTGCCCGTGTTTTTTAGATTTTTAGGCATATTTAGTCTATTCTTCAATAGAAAATGAAAATGACTATTTAATTCCTTATACCTGTAGTGGCCAGAGAATCTGCTGACCTGTTACTTCCAGCTGTATCTTCTATGGTCTGCTGCTCAATTTTATTTACTCCATCTTTTTGGTGAAGAAATTTGCATGAATTCCCCTTGATGCACCAGCCTCTAGCATAAAATACACAAATACCTGCAAGTCTTTTGTTCGTTCTGTCAGGTTCAGAACCTGGAGACGAGCTTCTAGGCCTCCGCCGTGGACTATGGCCACTGTAGAACGACTATAGTTTTAGCTTAGACAAAAATCAGCAAAAGAAACATTGACAACATGACAGAAACAAGAAAGAAATTTTGATTTTTCACAGTAATCTCTCAACATGGAAAATGGCATTATTGACTTACCATGTGAAGATCAAGTCCTCTAAAACCTGTGAATTGGTTTTTTCATGGAGATGTGACTCTCCTTTTTCTGAAACATTATTTTTTACTATCTTAGATTCATTTATTACACCATCTTCAACAGATGAATCATTTTTCTGAAGTTGCAGGGATCCAGAATTATCAGAACCAAGTAAGTGATGACTTTCTTGAGTTTCCAAGCAGTTATTATTCACATGCACTGGCGATTCCTTAGTGATTTCCTTATCTAATTGAATTCCCTTACATGTCTCGCTTAACAAAATTTCTGGAATTCCATTTTCTTCAGATTTGATGTGTTCAGAAACTACAGTAGAAAAGCCAGCGCCCACACCTGTAGCATTGAAATCCTTCATATTAGTTGAGAACATCTTAGAATGATCATATGCATGATGTTTCTCAGCATTCCAATCCCTAACTGTAAAAGAGAGTGAATTCGGATTTTTATCAAGCACTTCAAATTTCACTATCTTAAGCAAATCTACAAAATTTGAAGAATAACGGATGAAAAAGAAAAGACTTCCACGTCATAAAATTAGGTTCACCACAGCCAATCACAACATAAAAGCAAGGATTTGAATTTTGGCTTGAGTTGAATATAAGTGGACTTGAAACTTTAAGTCAACTTTTAAGCTGACTCAAGCCTATAATATTTTTTAAAGGTATCAAAAAAATTTCAAGCTATGAAATCATATACATACAAAAAAATATTTATATATAAATATACACCAGCAAGACACATGCATAAACTTAGGACAATGAATAAATAAATGCACAGATAAAAATCATATAACTTGGTAGCCTAAATATAAATAGATACATAAATATGTGTGAATATGCATAATTACACATGCTTAATAAACACTCATTCTTAAATTTGTCTATAGACTTTTGTCCTCCAAGGATAAGAATGATCGTTCTCCACTTTTTTTATAAATACTGCTTGTTATGGTTCACAAACTGAAGAGGACAAACATCAAGTACTACATGAAAATTAACTATAGTCAAGTTTCATAAATTCTTAAAATAATTTAATCACAAATCAAGAAAATGTGAAAAATAAGGCTCATTGAGCAAAAGATAAAACTTCCTAATGAAAAATTTAATTTTATACATGTATTTTATCAATCAAAACTATCAAATATACTCAATATCACAAGAAACCTATGTATTTAAATTCAAGCAATTTGGAAAATTACAAATTGACAGTGCATTTACCTTCATCTGCAATTGGAGCCATCCATTGATAAAATCTCAAAGCTTGATGATAAAATAATCTTAAAATTCTTAATATTCCTTTATCTTATAATTTGAAGGTTTTGACATTGAAATTTTCATGGAAGGAGAATACCTATGATAGGAAAAAGACTGCTTTCATTGAGATTAGGGCAAATGCAACTTCACCAACACAAAACAGCATGACCCAAATACAAAAAAGACAAACACTTACAATTTGACAGATAAGTGATCTCTTTCAAACCATAACCCTAAAATTCAAGAAAATAATCACACATAATCTAACCTTAAACATATTAAGCCCTATTTCTATCCCACAATAATAACAAACAAATGACTAAATAGTCATTTTAGTATGTCTAACATAAGTCTTCAAATTATTTTGGCAAGTTTGACATCGACTCAGTGAAGCACAAGGTGGGTGGTGTCATAGGCATCGGTCTAACATTAGTTCCCTCCCAAAAGACATCCTGTCCTCAAAGTGTAAGAGAGGACTCCTACAAAATCAAGTTGTATGGCTCCAACTCATAAACCGACTTGAATCTGGCTCTCGCCGTCAGCACTTGACTGAAATAAGTGATGGGTCGTTCACACTGCATGAGGATTGCACCTAACCCATAGCCTGAGACAGCCATCTCAACAATGAATGGTTGGTTATAATCAAGCACCGCCAACGCTAGTACACTTGTCATGGCCTTCTTTAACTTCTCAAAAGCCTGAGCAGCAACTTTGCCCCACTAAAAGCTATCCTTCATCAATTGCTCCGTTAACAGCCACGCAATCAAAATGTTACCCCTCACGAAATCCTGCTAGCATCCTGTAAGTCCCAAAAATCCTCCCAACCCCTTCAATGTTTTAGGTAGTGGCCAATTGAATATAGCAGCTACCTTCAATGGATTTTTCGACACCACGAGTGTCGTCAACACCTTCAAATGGTTAATGTGGCCTCCCAAGAAAAGTAGGAATAGCATCTCAAATTTCTCCTTATAATCCATGGACCCCTCCTGGACCAATGCAAAAAATTGCTCGTGTAATTCCCTTCTCGATGATTCTGAAACGCTCCAACAATCGGTCTATGAATTATCCCCACATTTTGATTGGTTGGTGTTCTCTCCATTGACACCACGTTAGAGCCTTCTTCCAAACATAGGACCACCGTCATCAATTTTTCTTCCTTTATCGGCGCATTAACAGCAAAGTATCTATCCATAAGATAAATCCAACTATAGCATCCTTTCCTTCAGAGATTAACATCTTTAGTTTCCTTATGTGTGAGTCTCCTCCCTAATATCCTAGACTGAAGCTCATTCCACACATGAAATAGGGATTGGGTTTCCTTTCTCGACCCATATTAATTTTCCTTCTTCCATAAGTATGGATCACCTCATAATCAGTTTATCCATCCCCATAGGCTCGTGAATCGTCCTCGGCCCGGAAGGCTGCCTCGACAAAAGACACTGGCGAGGTTGGATGCAACCCTGCGTTGAGATCCTACCCACTATGGATCCTTATTCCAGGCTAAATCCTTCAAATCAATCTTCTCCAGTCCTAAAACATATGTTGTCTCATTCTGCATCTTATTGTTGGTTTCAAACTATAGATGTCATGTAATTCCCTCCATATACTGTCGCTTCAATCTGTTCTGACTCCTTCACTCGATCTTACCTGCTTTCATTTGTTTCAGTCGTCTGACGGTCGCACTATTCCTTCCAAGTGCCACCGCTCAAGTACGCTCAATCTCGCGGCTCCAGATTCGCCTAAGGTAGCAACAGTGTCTTTATCTTGTGCAAATCCTTCAAATTGTTGCCGGCCGCGTCTGCTCCAGACGCCATCTCTCAATCCAGCAGCTAGCAACAATAAGTTTGCATGAAATTCCACAATCTTCATTTTTTCCATAAACATAAATCTTCCCTCCATGGACTTACACCACCCTCCATGGCTACAAAATGTCTGATTTGGCTCAAATCTCCCTCTAATTTCTCCTCCAAAGCATCTACTTTCTTGGTTGACATTACCCTCAGGACGGTTTTTATCATGAAAGCAAAAATCCTAAATCAAGACTGTATCGCTAGGTTCGGTCATGAAGGAGACATGTAATTGTAAAATGGTGAAGAGAAGGGGAAGACGTTGCTCAATCGATTCAGTTGCGATATGCAAAAATTCTATACGCTGCAATCATATCATTGGCTTCTCAGATAGCTTGTTATGTATCGTGAGGTTCAATCACGCAACGTCAAATTCCTTTACGCTGCAATCCCGATGGCAAGATTTGGAGCGGAACTTCTGTAAGTCATGATCCTATCATTAACTTCTACGCTAGAACATGACTGCGGCGTGAGGTTCGGTCAGGCGATACGAATCTTGCACGTTGCGATCCTGATCGGAAGTTTCGGTCATGAAGGTGGCATGGAACTCTTGCACGTTGTGATACTGTCATTGGCTTCCATTAAATTTCAAATGCTCATATATTAATTTGATAAGAAAGAGATAGTTTCCACAAAGATTAGGGCAAACAGAATATTTTACTTCATCAAAACAAAACAGCACAACACAAATATATTAAGATAAACACCTATTTGAGAGGTAGGCGATCTCTCACAAACCTTAACCCTAAGATTCAAGACAACACTCCACACATAATCTAACATAAATATTTTAGGTCATATTTATACCCCACAATAATAACTAAATGACTAAATTGTCATTTTAGTCTTATGCCTAACATAAGTCTTCAAACCATTGTCTTATGCATCTCCTCCATGTGTGTGTGTGTGTGTGTGTGTGTGTGTGTGTGTGTGATGAATTTTTCACCATCCAAGAGGAAAATATAATTTATCATTGTACTTTCATTTTTTAATATATTGCTTTTTGTGATTTCTAAAATCAAAATCACACTACTGATAATGATCTCTAAGATGATAGTTATTTGGTCGAGTTACATGAATTTTCATAATCTAACCACTCATTGAGTATGTGAAAATAGCAACAATGATCAAATGATAAATAGAAGCCTACCTAAATAAACATTTTTTTTACCCATGCATTGCCTGAAGAAATAAAAAACAATTGTACTCTAACTATCTTCAATAATATATGTGTCTGAAAGTTTAAAAACATTGAAATTGAAGTTAACATTTTCATTGTGTAGAGCCCAGAATCACATTTGAGTGACGAGAGGGTTGTAAATTTCAAAGCTATATATATGCCCATTAAACCTTAAAAACTCTGGATTTAGTTATATTAACCAAGTTCTGCCTTTTAAAAACACCATATCTCCTTCTCATGGATTAAACTAAAATCCACTTAATAAAGAAGAGCTAAATCGATAGACTATTCCAAAAATAGAAAAAATTATGATGTATTAAATTGGAACTTTTGATTTTAAAACAAAATCTGCTATTAAAATTGTAGAACAATCCGTTACCATACATGGAGCTGAAAAAGTTGAATCTTTATTATGAAAGGATGACTTATACAGTTATTTTCATAATTATAAGTATATTCATATAAAATTATTGAAATAGCATTTGAACCCCAAACTTTTAGAGGATTAAATGCTTCTACTTTAGCATATTTGGGCGATGGTAGATGCTTAAATTGGACGGAAGCTTTAATGGGAGTATTAGAAATTGGTTTATATCATAGACCAATTCATTTTATTACTTATCCAAATTTAAATTTCTTTTACTGATGCTAATCTATTTGTAGTAACAAAATTACAACAGTAAATGCATGGTTAAGATTTTTTATAAAAATCTAAAACTATTGTTACAAGATTCATTTCAAAACAATAAATGTGCTATGTCCAAATATAAAAAAAATAGCTCAACCTACTAATAAACTTGCATCCAATATAGCTTCTAATCAAGTTGTAAAATGGAAAGAAATTTCATTTCTAGAATGATGGACTACACCACTAGGTGTTACTCCAAAATCTTTAATTAACCAAGAAATAGAACAAATAATTTAAAGTGAAGATGGGGATGTAGAGGTTAGGTTCAATCCTCGAAGATCTATATCTTTAGCTAGAATCTCTATTTTCTACATTTCTTCCTTCATTCTCTTCAATTTCTGAGAACATGTAAAATAAATAAATAA